AGTAGAGTACAGCAGAGTACAGTAGAGTACAGTAGAGTACAGTAAAGTACGGTAGAGTACAATAAAGTACAGTAAAGTACAGTAGAGTACAGCAGAGTACCGTAGAGTACAATAAAGTACAGTAAAGTACAATAAAGTACAGTAAAGTACAATAAAGTACAGTAAAGCACAGTAAAGTACAGTAAGGGTACTGTATCTGTAAGTACATTGTAAACAAATGACAACACATGAAAAAGAACTCCTTGAATACAAATCTCATATTTTCCCATGACCCCATGAAGCCAGGAAACCTTAACCTTTTACACAATGAACAATGCACATATCCGGGGCTCAGGTCGTAAAAAATGTTTGCTGTGTTCGTCTATTCCAAAGTACAGTACGCCAGAGAGTAGTCACCGATTCACATATGTGCACTTTAAATGGTTTAACGAGAGGTTGAAGAGGCAGAGAAATGAGCAAACAGTAGCCAGCAATTCGAGTCACACAAAAAAAAACTTCTCCTTTCAATGAATCGCCCATAAAATTGTCGATACGGCGTTCAAGGTTGGGCTACTGATCGTTTCGGTCAAAATTTAGATCAATCATTAGAGAGTTTTCTTTTCAAAAAATCCAAACCAAAGCTTTTTCCTACTTTTAAACAAACTCTAAAAGTCCATTAAATCGAAAATTGTGATGCAAAGTAACAGAAAATACACGTGTAAGTAGTAAACTGTACTATTTAGCTAGTACAGTTTTCCATAGTACCTAGACCGTACTATTTACCTAGTACAGCTTTACCTAGTACCTAGTACTATTTCCGTTTAGCTAGTAAACTGTACTATTTACCTAGTACAGTTTTACCTAGTACTACTTAGGTTTACCTAGTACTACTTACGTTTACCTAGTACTATTTAGCAAGTACAGTTTTACCTAGTACCTAGACTGTACTATTTGGCTAGTACTGTACTATTTACCCAGTACAGCTTTACCTAGTACCTTATTACTATTTCCTTTTAGCTAGTAAACTGTACTATTTACCTAGTACTACTTGCGTTTACCTAGTACTATTTACGTATAGCTAGTAAACTGTACTGTATTTACCAAGATTTCGACATTTCTAAAGCACTTCTAAAGTGCTAAACTGTTTAAGGAAATGAATTTTCGTTTTATCTAAAAATTCTATAATATTTTTAAGGGTACAAATTATCGAAATTATAGAAAAAACTTCCCTCTCTCAAACTCTCTCAAACTTCCGGCCCACTTCAACCTCTCCCCTCTTTTTTCCCCTATCTTGTGCATTGAAGCGTGTCAGCACGCCATTTCAAATCCTTTTCTTTCTCATTTTTTTTGCCGAATCACAATTTGAGGCTTCTTGGTCTTTTCCCATCACTGAACAGCCAACTTGACGCCTTATGGATTTCACAAAATTTCTGTTTTTAGTGCTGGTTGAGATACGAGTTACGGTAATCGAGTTCGTTTTTTTGGGTAAAGCTAAAAGGCCAAAGCAGTTAGAAGCCTTTTCTAAAACAGTTAGAATTTGAGCGAATTTTATAGTTTTTTTATAGAAATAATAGAATTCAATTTACTCAAGTAATTACAAGAAAAGGTTTATATAAAGGTTTTGTTTCTCTACTCATGAATTGTTACGGTAATTGGTGAGCCTAGAGATCTAGCCTAGAGATCTAGCCTAGAGATCTAGCCTAGAGATCTAGCCTAGAGATCTAGCCTAGAGATCTAGCCTAGAGATCTAGCCTAGAGATCTAGCCTAGAGATCTAGCCTAGAGATCTAGCCTAGAGATCTAGCCTAGAGATCTAGCCTAGAGATCTAGCCTAGAGATCTAGCCTAGAGATCTAGCCTAGAGATCTAGCCTAGAGATCTGAACCTGCATTCTGACCGGCTTATAGCATGAGTACTGTCACGTAGTGCTTCTAATTATCTAACAGTACTTACAATACTTTGTTCTACTCCAGTTAAACTCGATTTTTCCTATTTTTTTTCGATTTTTCTTACTCTAAACTCTTGACCGTAAATCTCTTCAGAAAATGGGGTTTTTCGGAAAAGGCGATCGTTTTATGTAGACCGCTTTCGAGTGAATTCAATGGAAATTTTTGTTTGGATGGATAGTATCACTCTCTATTCAAACGAATTTCAATGCCTTTGCCTTTGAAAAGATTTTGGAGTTCTTTGAAAAGGATCGGGGGGAAAAAAGGAGAATATCAATGAGCACAACCCCACACAACTACAGTTCTTTGAAAAGAAAAGAACTTTCAATAGAAATAACAGTTCACTAATCGTTATCGATTTGTGTCAATACGATTGGCACTATCAAAAACATCATTCTTTGCTACAATTTTAGCATAGCTACAGTAACTAAGTACTCAAGTATCGTAGCTTTATAAACAAAGTACAGAATAAGAGATAGAGCTTTTACTTGGCAGTCGGCTACGTGTCGGTTTAGCTCATTGGTAGAGCATTCGCCGGGTTCGCAGGTTCGAATCCTGGCGCGAAGGATAGAGAAAAAGGAGAATATCAATGAGCACAACCCACACAACTACAGTTCTTTGAAAAGAAAAGAAATTTCAATAGAAATAACAGTTCACTAATTGTTATCGATTTGTGACATAAGATTCAAGACTCTTCTAGTACTTCTTGTACTTCTTGAAAACATTCTCTGGCACACTCGATAAAACAAATGTACACTAGTACTTTGTACTCTTGCTTTGTGACACACTAAATAGCTAATGAACTTTGAGCTCTTGAAAACGGACTTTATTTGACAAACTTTGTAAGCATGAGTACTTTAATCTAATGAACGTGTACTTTGTGCTCTCAAAGATTTATATATCAAAGATTGATGTGCCAGAGAGCATTTGCTTGTGAGAGTACAAAGGATCTAGCCACTAATCCACTGAGAAATTCGTTGATACGACTTATTCGTTTCGAATTCGCTGAGAACGTTTCCCTTTGAAAAGAGGAAGTATTCAAGGTGTGAAAAGGAAGAGAGGAAGAGTGGGAGAGAGGGAGAGAGGAAGAAAGGTAGAGAACTGAAAAAGGTATGACTGATAGGCAACACAATGGGCATAATGTTAGCGATCTTTTAGGGAAAGGAATAGATGCTCAATTTGGATGGGTGAAAAGGCTGAGTCACTTGAGCGATGCATCTCTCTGAACTGAGCTCTCGGAGTACGAGTCTCCATCATAAGCATTCATAAGCATTCATTAGCATTCATTAGCATTCATTAGCTCATTCATTTATGAATAGGTTATCTACCGCAAAACGTCAAAGTTCATCGGGGAAAAGTTATATAAACTTTAGATGTAAATGCGATTCCGATGTTATTAAGAAGCTTATTAACAGTTCCAAATCTGCTTCTGATACTGCAAAGATTGATAGAAAGGGTTTCTTTAGGTTCTAAGAATCATTAGCTGTATTTTTATCTAATAAACTGCTTAACTACTTACAATTAGAGAAATTCAGTACTCTGGCTACGGTTTTGTAATCGAATATTGAGCAATTATGTTAGAGAATCGTTCGATTCGATCGATTCGAATTTCGATTCGATATTCGAACGTTTTCCTTTGATACACTCCAACAAAGCCACAGTAGCATATTGCTTTTCTTAGCTTACTTCTTAGCTTACTTCTTAACTTACTCCTTAACTTACTCCTTAACTTACTTCTTAGCTTACTTCTTATGCATCTCTCTGAACTGAGCTCTCGGAGTACGAGTCTCCATTATAAGCATTCATTAGCTCATTCATTTATGAATAGGTTATCTACCGCAAAACGTACTTCTTAACTTACTCCTTAACTTACTCCTTAACTTACTTCTTAGCTTACTTCTTAGCTTCCTTCTTAACTTACTTCCTTAACTTACTTCTTAACTTACTCCTTAACTCACTTCTTAACTAGTTCACTAAACCTTAACACTTAATAGTAGTTCTACTTTTGCAAGGGTTATACTATTAATTTCAAATCATTACTATTAATTACTACTAATTATACTATTAATTTCAAATGATAAACCTTTCTGAAAGGTTTTTTTGACTTATTTTAACTCGTTTTGCCCAAGAGATCTACCTCGTTGAAAGAAACAATTTCCGCTCACAAATCAATATCCTAAACGCATTTTGCGGGATTTCACCCCCCACCAACCCCGGCAAGGTTAGCAATTCCAATTTTGTGTGCCCTTTGCAACCTGGTGAAAGAAATCGACGAATGGGGAAAGGCGGTGAGTCTTTGAAGGAAACGAAAGAGAGTACAACAAAGAATGGAAAACGATTGGAAAAGAAAATGAATCGATGAGTCTTTTCGAGTTCTTTTCTGGGTAAAGATCTTCATTTAGGTTCTCTCACTTCTTTGTCATCCAAAAGAGAGTTCTTTTACGGAGTACGGTGGATTGGGCTTTTGTTTGAAAGTTAAATTTCTTTGTAAAAGATATTCAGCGAAGAATTAAAGAGAGAAATTGAGATAGAACCTGAGTAATAAATGTTAAAATTCTTGAAGAATTAATTAAATTTCTGAAAAACTATAATATTCAAAAGATACAAAAGATATGAAAGGTTTTTTGGTAAGCTAAATGTATTTTTGATAAGCTAAAGCTTTTTTTGATAAGCTAAAGCTTGGTTTGGTAAGCTTTTGATAAGCTAAATATATTTTTAAAACGATTACAGAAACATATTCAATTCTCCATTTCATTTTCCACAAATCTAACAACTCAATTCTCTTAAATGACCCTGGGAAAGTTCGGTGAAATCTCAAAGTAACTCTAGACCAAAGTAGACCAAAGTACTCTACTGTAGTACTATATTTTAGGGTTTAGAAGACTTGGAGCAACTCCAAAGTTGGACTGAACGTCGATCATTTTATGCAAAACGTTAGGAATCCAAAAATTAGTCATCACCGGGATTCGAACCCGTGACCTCTCGCTTCTCCTGCTCACTAGACGAAAGCTCTACCAACTCTACCGAGCTACACCTACACGTTGCCCTTCGCCACCAGGATAGGGCTTTATTTCTTACTCTAAACTTGACTTACTTTTGATCGACGGAGTCTGAGTGCCGCTCGATGCTCGATCAGAGAGCGATGGAGATGGATCTGAAGAAAAGTTATTTTAAATCATAATAAAATAAGTTTTATGAAATGTACAAACAATATTTACAATTGATCGAATCGAATGAATTTCTACCAGATGATCGAATCGCTGGACTGGATTGTTGTTGTGAGGCGGCCAGTGAGTTCAGGAATTGTTGTTGCATAAGACTTGCATAGATTTGTTGAAAATTCTGAGGGAAGATCAATGGATTCGGGAACACCTAGAATAGTTATCTATTTTCTATTTTCTATTTCGATTTCTAAATTCAAATTCAAACACAAATTCAAAGCTCAAATTCAAAGCTCAAACCGATGCGGCGGTGGTGGGCGGTGGAAGGCAAAAGGGCATCGACGGGAACACCAATGGGGAACCCTTCTCTTTCTCTAGCGCTGAAAAGTTAATAGATAATAAACTCGATAATAAACTAGATACCGTATTTACTCTATTAGTGGGGTCCCCCACTATTTTTTCAATCCCCTTCCAGACGACCCCACTATTAGAGAAATTTAAAAGAACATAAAACCAAAGTTTTAAATTGAAAAGATATCAATTTTTCTCCGAAATTCTTGACAAAACAAGTTTGGCTTCATATTTTATTTAGCTTTAACCGTAACAAAACATTAACAAACAGTAAAAGAACTAATCCAAGAGATCAACAATTGATGTATCACTTTCGTCACCAATATCTTCTTCCAATTCGAGAGGACCCCACTATTTTTTCAACCCCCCTCCAGACGACCCCACTATTAGAGAGGACCCCACTAATAGAGTAAATACGGTAACAATCTAGATAATAAACTAGATAATAAACTAGATAATAAGCTAAATAATAAGCTAAATAATAAGCTAAATAATAAACTAAATAACAATCTAAATAATAACCTAAATAATAACCTAAATAATAATCTAAATAATAATCTAAATAATAATCTAGATAATAATCTAGATAATAAACCAGATAAGAATCTAAATAATAAACTAAATAATAAACTAAATAATAAAATAAATAATAAAATCGATAATAATCTAGATAATCTTATTCTTTTCAAAACCTTAATAAAAACAAACCGGCAGCGATCGGCAAACGTTGCGGAAGGGACATTTTACGACGATGAAGCTCCAGATTCGTTTCTTTTTCAATGAACAAATTTCAATGAAGACAAATTGCGAAATTTGAATTGAAATTCTTTCGTTAATAAGCCTCTAAAGATAAATATTCAGTTAATAAGCTAAAAAAACAATTAATGAGAGAAAAAGAAGCGAAAGAAATGCTTGAAACAAATTCGATTTGAAATTACGATTTAATTGTTGATTATTTTCTAGATTTCTCCGCACAAAAGAATCGGTAAGAAATGAATTCTTTAACCCATAAACACAGCTCATTTCCAATCACAACGAAACGAGCTATGCGGCGCTCTTTTAAGCTCTTTTTTTTTTGCAAAAAAATGAATCAAATGAAAGAGAAGATCAACAATTTGCTAATCAAACATCTAGTAAACGATTAAAATCAAACTTTTTAAGGTAAAAACATCTAGGCTAACCTTAAAAAAACTAGGTTAAACATCTAGGCTAACCTTAAAACTCTAGGTTAAACATCTAGTTTAACCTTCAAAGCCTAGGCTATACATCTAGGTTAAACATCTAGTATCAAACATCTAGTTTAAGTCTAGTTTCGGCTAAAAATCTGATTAAAACCCAAGGCTTAACACGACAAAAAGCAAGCAACATAAGCTATCTAGGTTGAAATAAAGCAATAAATTGAGCGAAGTAAGCTCATTTTTTTTCTGAAAAAGAAAATTCCATAAACTCTTAGTGCTTTAAAGAGCTTTAGATAGCTTTAGACAGCTTTAGATAGCTTTAGACAGCATTAAACAGCTTTAAACAGCTTTAGATAGCTTTAGACAGCTTTAGACAGCTTTAGACAGCTTTAGACAGCTTTAAACATCATTAAACAGCATTAAACACCATTAAACAGCTTTAAACAGCTTTAGATAGCTTTAGACAGCTTTAGACAGCTTTAGACAGCTTTAGACAGCTTTAAACAGCATTAAACACCATTAAACCTTAACACTTTAGGCTACCTTTAGACGCTTTAAACATCATTAAACATCATAAACAGCATTAAACACCATTAAACAGCATTAACACCATTAACGCTTTAACGCTTTGCGCTTTGCGCTTTAAACAAACCAATTTTTTTCAAAACTAAATCATTTTTAGTAAGTCAAAGCAAAAAAAATTCAATTTTTTATCTATAAGAGTTGAATTATAATTGAAAAACGAAATTGAGTGAACGAAAAATGAAGAGAAGTTGGGTAAGTGATTGGGTGGAGAGTCTGTTCACACTTCTTTTTCTTTCTTTTCTTCTCTCGAAGTGTCAAAGAGTGGGGGAGGAAAGGGGGTGGAGCGATTGGAGAGGGGCGGGACAACGCACAACCATTGGTCAATCAAAAAAGATCATTCGAAAAGTGAGCAAAAGGGTAAAATAGACTCAAGGAGAGTCGATTTTCTTTTTCTAGACAACAAGGGTACTGTAGATCCTGAAAGATCTTTCTTGTGTCAATTCAAATTGATCACCTAAAGTCGATGGGCTGGATTGGATGATGATGGCTTGAGGAATGAGAGACGGAAGTCGTTTTTTCAGAGCCACAAATGCATTTTCATTGATTTAAGGAGAGAAATTTTGAAGGAATCATTGAATAAATCAATAATTCCTTTTAATTATTATGGGAATTTTGGATTTTTGTTCGGAAAAAGTTGTCAATTTTTCTCCATTTCTATTTCCGTCAAATTTTTCATGTCTACTGTAGTCTAATGGAAATTTCATATTCATTTGAATGGTTGAAAATGCGAAGGAATACACCGTTTACCATAATATTTAAGTTTTAAAGGTTGTGCATTTTTTTTTTTTGAGAGAAGCGGAATGAAATGAAAACTTAGAGAAATTGAAATGAAAATGAATTGGAAGCTTGGAAGAAATGGAAATGATAAAAGAAAACTTTGACAGTTAGCTGAATATCTGAATAGCTGAATAGCTGAATAGCTGGATAACTGAATAGCTGGATAACTGAATAACTAGCTAAATCTCTACAATCGTCCAACTACAATCTCTACAATTTATTCCTCCAACTAATCCCATCTCTTGTACAGATTTTTGACGACTATTCTACTTGTGAGTTGATCGAGTGCGACTTTTCCACACCCTTGTCCAATCAGTTTAAGATTTCTTGACTTAAGTGCCCAAGTGACTCAAAAAAAAAACAGAAGTGATTTAGGGGCATCTTTAGGTCACAAGTTGCCTCTTTTTCTGTAGGATCAAATGCCAAAAAAGGAAGAAATGGAAGAAGAAGAGCTCTCACAAAACATACCGGCAGATGTCCGGTTGAGCTATGCATCGATGAATGCACTAAAATACGGGGAAAACATTTGTTATTGATTTCTGAAGCGCTTTGTCTTTTCAAATTTCAGTATTAATCCACAAGAATTGCTAGGAAAGGCTAGAGAATTGTAGAAAAAAGTTAATCAATCTATCTACACAGCCGAAGTTACACGTCTTCCACGTCCCTTTCAATCCTGATTTGTTCCAAGAGACTTAAAACGTTTGCATGTTCGCAAAACAAGTTGTTTTGTCACACTCAGAGTCGTTGACGGATCGACTTTCTATCGATCGACGGATCGACCGGAACAGCTTTCTTGTGAAGAGAAATGATCAAGTCGCGAAAGCTGAGAGGGCTTGGCCATTTCTAAAAACGAACAATTTTTTTAAATATTATTAAATGTAGACAGCAAGAAAAACAAGAAAAAACAAGAAAAAACAAGAAAAACTTAAAAAAAACAGTCAATAAATCGCTCGCGTTGGACATTTTAAATGCTTTTATCATGAGGGGTCGGGGTATCAGTAATTGTGGATTGACACCAAAATGTGTTTCTTTTGAAGAAAGTGCTCAAACTGTCACATATGACAATAGCCGGCTGTTTTCAATTCACCAATCTATCTAGAAACCTGTCAACCTCAATACAAAGCAATTCGTTTATTCAAAAACGATTTAACAAAGTTGATAAGTTGATAACCAATCGTATTTGATTAAGAAAAGTCGATTTCTGATCTGATTTTTGATCATTTGTTTTGTTTTATGAGAGCTTTCTTCTTTCATTTCTTCTTTTTTTTGGCATTTGATTCTTAGAAAAAGAGGTAAGTTTTTAGATATAATCGTTTTTCTCACAAATAAATATCACCGTTCTTTAGATCATATTCTTTAGATCACTTTCTTTAGATCACTTTCTTTAGATCACTTTCTTTAGATCATATTCTTTAGATCACTTTCTTTAAATCATTTTCTTTAGATCATATTCTTTAGATCACTTTCTTTAGATCACTTTCTTTAGATCATATTCTTTAAATCATATTCTTTATATCATTTTCTTTATATCATTTTCTTTAGATCACTTTCTTTAAATCATATTCTTTATATCATATTCTTTATATCATATTCTTTAGATCATATTCTTTAGATCACTTTCTTTAGATCACTTTCTTTAAATCATTTTCTTTAAATCATATTCTTTATATCATTTTCTTTATATCATTTTCTTTAGATCACTTTCTTTAGATCATATTCTTTATATCATTTTCTTTAGATCATTTTATTTAGATCATTTTATTTAGCTCATTTTCTTTATATCATTTTCTTTACCGTATTTACCCGTTGACTATAAAAGAGACATAAAAGAAACGCCTTTTAATATATTAAAAAAAAGAATTTTACGACTTTTCGATTAGCATATTGTTTGAGAACAAAATCGTGAAAGATTTATGCAAATCGATTGAGTAATTCGTTTTTTTCGGACACCTGTGAGCGGATTTTCGGCGGTTTAATGAAGCGGTTTATCTTTGATCTGTTGCCATCATAAATTTTTCAATCGATCATAATAATCTAGCTGCTTTACGTAAATGACAATGTGTTCTTAAGGGGTTCAATTTTTTAAATAGACTTGTACTATAAACTTGTACTATAAACTTGTACTATAAATTCTTTTACAGCCACTTAAATGCATAAACCACACTCAGCACTAAAGCGATTTTCAGAAACGAAATTTTTGATTATTTAACATTTGATTTAACTAAGGGGAATAGAGGGATTTAACTAAGGGGAATACCGGGATTTAACTAAGGAGAGTACAGGGATTTAACTATGGGTAATACAGGGATTTAACTAAGGGGAATACCGGGATTTAAATAAGGAGAGTACAGGGATTTAACTAAGGAGAGTACAGGGATTTAACTATGGGTAATACAGGGATTTAACTAAGGGGAATACAAGGATTTAACTAAGGGGAGTACAGGGATTTAACTAAGAGGAATACAGGGATTTAACTAAGGGGAATACAAGGATTTAACTAACGGGAATACAGGGATTTAACTACGGTGAATACAGGGATTAACTAAGGGTAATACAAGGATTTAACTAAGGGGAATACAGGGATTTAACTAACGGGAATACAGGGATTTAACTACGGTGAATACAGGGATTAACTAAGGGTAATACAAGGATTTAACTAAGGGGAATACAGGGATTTAACTCTTAAAACCCATAAATCTCTTTTCTAGTGCAGGAGAATAATAACTGCTCAAAAATGATAAAAATATTAGCTATAAGAAAACTTTCCGAATTCCCTTTCTCCAAGAACTTCCTTTTCTTTTCCTCCCAATCCCAACTACGGTAGATTTACTGCCAAACTTTTTCTGGGTTAAGCGAATTTTTCAATTTTGCTCCTAGGCTTTGAAGAAAAGAAGAAAAGGAGAAAAGGAGAAAAGGAGAAAATGTGAGTCCCGACGGGAAGATGAATTCTCTCATCGTTGACACTTCAAATAGCGAAAGAGATAAGAATAAAGGAAAAGGATCTCTTGGGGATTGGAAAAGTGAGGGAAAAAGTTTATCCTTTAACGGGTTTTTAGTATCGTACTCTAGTTGGTTCAATAGTGGACAGGCTAAAGTCAGCTAGAGCTAGACAAGTTTATCTACTGCAGAGTCAAGCGAGTCAAGCAAAAACTCTAAAAATTATCGAGTACTCTTTAAGTTCAAGTAAAGCAAGTACTACTGA